TTATAATATTATACAAAATACAATTCAACTGTAAATCAAYTACAATTCAACTGGTTTGCTATTTTTTTAATTTATTAATTTTTTTTTTTTTTTTATAAAAACTATTTTTAAAAAAACTTCTGAATCATTCGCGTAACATTCACATCACAATTTAATAAATATAATGAAGCTCGATACGCCTTTTAAACTTTCTCATCGTATGTACTTAGCTATTGAATAAATGATCATCAAAAAAAAAAAAATATATTGGTATAAATAAAGCATTTCCAACATTTTGAATCGAATAAAAAACATTTACCTATTTATTGCATAAATTTGAAATATATTTGTTCGAATTTACACATAATATGTATTATTATATATTAATATTATGCACCTGGTATTATAATATTATTATTTAACTCTYGGTAAATAATGTACGTCCGTTTGACCATTCAAATGTGTATACGGTCTTTGTGCGATAAGCCTTCGTTATTTTTTGGTTAGATGAAAAAAAATGCACAAAGATAAAAATTTATAATATTATATTTTCTCCTTTCTTTGTCCCTTTGCCGTAATTCTTCCGGGTCCTTGAATACGTTTAAAGATCGCTCCACATAATATATTCTTCAGGCCATTATAATAATAAAACGTGTATAATTTTTGTTGAAATTTTGCTACGATTGAATATACATTTCTTATTGTAGGCAAGAGATGGGTCGGCTGGTCAAACGATTCAGTCGGCAATAAGTTGGATTTGGTGTTTGAGTTCAACGGATTCCGCATGTTCAAAGAAGTAAAAATACACAGCAGTCATATACCGACCAGAGACGTAAAGGTGAGTGTAYCGTTCGTCAGTATTAACTATTTTAAATTTTTATATACATATATTATATTTTCTACGCAATGAACATTGAATATAATAATATTTTATCAAAGCCTAATTGGTTGTACTGTATAATAATATAATATTGTGCATGGATAATTATTGTGGTAGACTTAACTGTTTTCTCGGATACGATCGTACATCTAGGATTACCGAYAACTGCAAACAGAAGAAATCTGAAATACCAGGTTCATTTTATCATCATATTATAATATTATCACTTCTCACGCGAGCGTATCCACAAAATTGACAAAAAAAAAAACATAGAAACCCCTTTGTATACAGACACATGSGACCATTTTTGTGGATCAGTCGAATACAATGATGATCCGTTGCGTTTGACACAATTTTAAAAGGGACCCGATTCTTCCGCAGAAAAAACGTAGATCAAGAAATACAGTAAATCTTTTAGGTAACAGTTGTTTCGTGTAACTTATGGCACGTATAATCTTTAGCTRTAAAACACAAGACCAATTATATCAGTTTTAAAATAATTGTCGGGTTGGACAAACTTTTCCTCTGCTAAACCATATAATATAAATTAATAACTGACAATAAAATGCATGAGTGTCATATTGACTAAGGATAAACTATACCTATGTATAAATGTACTTAAAAGCTATACCATTATAAATGAACCCTATACATGGATCGTAAACGTTTTCTTGTTTTCCATTATATAGCTGCAGTTGTTGGGGTAATAATTCTTCGTGTATTTATATCATAGATCAATGGRCCTCAAATAAGTATTTCGTTTTTAGTATTATTTCCCATCAGTATGATTTTCCAATATTTTATATTTTTGTTTACCATATTTATTTTAAATTACATTAATGTTGGCTGCTCTGGGGCCAGCATACGATACACTCGAGGGAGCCTAATTTAGAAAGTGCCCTGTCAATGTATTCCCCCGTTATACCCCAAATGGTACCCTTGAAAATCATCGCTGGTTCGAGAATGAACACGACCCGTTACATTTTAGAATTCTAATATTCGARTATAATACAATATACTCATATAGTAGTGCTGTAACCATACAATATTATAGAATAATGTTTGAAGGTACTCTCAAGTGGGTTCCGTGATGGCGTAATTATTGATATTGTTTTATTATTAGAAAAAAAAAAATATATGAAGATCCAACAAACATAATATGACCTGTACGAAATGCAATACGATCGTTGTCACAGCGTTTTTCTGTGGTTTTCATGCACAACCCTCGAATGTCGGCCTCCTACACCGGTTGGCGATCATTGCAAATAAAACGTGCAATCGTTGTGCGGTGTTCATATTATGTGATAAGTGCCAGTGGATTTAATTTCCTGCTTCCACCCTACACTATTATTATCTTGAATACGACTCGCCCAGAAAACCGTTCCATCGTCGATATCGAAATCACTACGCTGGCCGATTTCTGCCTTAGAGGCCGCCCGCAATAAGCGACTTGTGCTGCTGCTGGTGCATTATATTGTTACCGTTATTTATTATTATTATTATTTATACTTTCCTACAGTTCAATRTTATAGTGCGCTATTATACGTATTATTGCGAGTGCATTGTTTCCTCGACGTCGCCCGCCCCCCCGTTTTCAAATTATTATTATTATTATTACACTGCAGAAATGGAGCAGCCGCCCGCCGAAAGTGGTCGCTCACCCTCCCCTATATACATAACGATATGCTCGCCGACCGACGCGAAAGCTCTCAATAGTAACGAACGGCCATTGTGTGCCACCGGGCACATTAAATATAATATACACATATATTATGTGGGTGTGTATGGGTGTRCGTGTGTATTACATCCAYTGCCGCCGTCGGGTAAGTAATTTCGGTGTTAATACGATTCTAACAGGTTTCTTTCTGCTTCGCATTGCGTCTTGCCCTAAAAGCACGTCAGGGTGACGCGATCCGAGAGAGTTTAGTTCTCACKTCTCCCTGCAGTTTCATATCGACTGCTTTATTGACGGTTTTTATTTAGTCGCAATCGACTGTAGTATTGTTTCTGAACGGTATTTAACGTTATTTTTCTTGTCTATCTTTCAAGTACTTTGAATGTTTAAACATTTTTTTCTATTAAAATTCATTTTTGATTTAATATCCCTGATATCAGACTATTTCTTTGAAAATGTTCTCGTTTTCATTTTTTTCAAAAATCGAATCAATCTAGTTAGATAATTACGTATTGATTATTATTAAATTTTAATGAGTATTTATAAAATTCATATGTACTATTTTTACGCTTAATTTATCACGAGAGCTACGAGCATCATTGTGAATAAAAAAAATAATATTATTTCCTTGTACGAGCATAATATTATATCTATGCAGTCAATTAGTAATAAAAACTCGATATTAATTCTTTACGACTATATAATACTATCACGAAATTAATGTGCCAATTCGTTGAGATACTTAAAATGTTGATAGTATACTGATTTTTGAGAATCTTAAATATTATAATAGGTTCTTCAGTAGATTTATAGTTAAAATAATGTATAATTTTTGTTTTATAATTCATATTTTATATTATTTAGATACTATACCTACATTAAAATACTGCATTATACATATAATTTAAATTTAATTCATTTCAAAGATAATTTTCATAAATTATTAGCAAAATGTTACAATGGGGAAGTTAAAACAATTAAGTAAACACTTAATTTCATTTAAATTTTCAATCAAATATTACAAATTAAACAGCTGAATTATATGTATTTACAGCATTTGATTCTCCCGAATTGAACTTATACCTGTATGCATTGTCATTATTTATAAGAATATTATGTATATATTTCTAGCTTAAAAAACAAAAAGC